TTCTGAATATTAAGTTTTAATAGCCTCTTTAATGCAAGCTTCTGGAAACTTGTTCTTCTAGTTAAAGAAGCCTGTTTAATTTTGCTCAATATCACTGAAGAATGTATTATTCAGGTAATATAAACAGTTTCTGCCCTCCATGCACTGTGATTTACATGTAGTATGTTTGCTTATTACTACAAACAAGTAAATGATGTAACATACTTCAATAATAAACACTGTATCAGTGTGTTAATTTAACTCTATGTTGTCATCTTTTTCACCCTCTTTCACTTGTTATACACTGCAAAGTGTTGAAATGGTTTTGGTATTTTAAATGTCACCTGTTCCCAGCTGCAATTAGCATTTAAAAGCTTCACATCAATTTTCATTCAAATATGCCGCCTCTGTAGTCATGGTAACCTCCTTGTCAGCTTTATCTTCCAGCTTTAGAAGGTACTGCTGTGATACTTAGAGATGTGGCATTCAAGATTTTTCATTTGGCTCCCTCCTCCTTCCCTCTCCAGCACAAAAGACAATTCTGTGCTTGCTTTTACCAAGTCAGAGGTTTACAACAGCAAGCGAAGGGCCAAAACGGAAATACTGTAAAAAATACAAAGTTCTATTTCATGGAGCTTCCTGGAAATAAGTAGTGCTGAAGACGAGGGGTTTAGGATTTCAGAGGGCACATTACACATGGTGCAGTAAACTACATATAAGCTATTAAAAACTACATATTCAGCATATGCAAAAATGAAATTCTAGTCATATATAAAAATGTGTAGCTGCAGTATCCGAGTACTTAGCAGATGTCTTTTCTCTCCTCACTTAAGAGCAGAAACACTGAACCAGATGTAAGTCAAAGACTGTTTCATTCAAACAATCTAATTATTCTGTGTTTAACCAGGATATGCTCTGACATTTAATTTTGTGAGAAAAATATCAAATTTATTTTATTGTTAGTTATCCTCCGCATACTAATTTAACCATGCTTCTTTGTTTCTGTCATCATTATAATGCAGCATTTATGTGAGAACAGGTCAGCTGCTTCAAAATGCTGAAGTTATTGGTAGAGACACCCATCTGTGAGCCACATCATTCTTGTTACAGAGTTTATTGTCCTTGGCCTGCAATACATGTTTATTGTTGGGAGAAAAACAGTTGCAAGCACAGAGAAACGGAGAGATATTACAATTCAGAGACATGGACTTTCGGTTAGCAGATAATGTAATTGTAAGGGATATTATAACATTATTATAGGGGATTTCCTGCATAATCTCCCTATGGTCATTTGCAAAACTCCCCTGCTTCTACTTTTATTTCAGAAATTGACAGAAGCTGGGGCACTACACACTTATCCCAGCCTGCCTCTGGCCATCTGTGAAGCTGTGAAAACATCTTTAGGGTGTCTTTTTCAAGCGGCCACTTCTCATAGACTGCAAGCCAACAACATGGCAGCCACAAGAAGTCATATACGCATGCTTGCCTTTAATCCCTGTACAGCAGGCACATGCTGGGTATTTGAGATGTAGCCACTTCATCTGTGTCTTGCATATGTGGATACAGACAATAAATCTGCATTTTAACTAATTTTTATTATGTGGTGTCTCCAGAAGGATGTTTTAAAACGATCTCTACATGCCTCTCTGCATCATCCTGAGCCTGAACAATGCAAGTCTGGATGATCAACAGGCACCCTCTATCAGCTGTCAGCCGCTAATGAGAACTTCCCAATGTGCAAGGTGAAATAAATGTAAACCACCTGTACAAACTCCGGCTTTGAAGGGCATTTTGTATGTGTGAGTCAGCCGTGGCTCTCACTGGAAATTCTTGATATTTTGGAAGTGTCTTCTGAAACTTTTGCATCTCTTACATGTCCACATAGTCTCCAAGACGCCTGTTGTGTTTTGGCTTTGTACCTGGATTTGGCATCTCACAACTCTGGAGAAGAATTTAGGGGTTCCCAATCAACGCTAAGGCAGCACAAACAGCCCAGGTGCTACAAACTGCCAGCATGGAGACACAAATAGACTACGCACCCTTGGCCTATCCAAACAATCCTTATTTTTCATATGATACCCTAGTAATAACTTCAAATATAATGTCTGTGTTTTATCACTTAACAAGAACTTTCAGATTTTTGTATTCCTCATGAAGCACCAAGGAAGGTGTTTTCCATTTGCCACCTGGTCAAATCAGTGTTCAAAGTGAAGAAGGTAGAAGTTGTAAAAATCAAAGCTATTCTTCAGCCCGAAAAGACTGTGAGTTCACTGTTTACAGTAAGCTTTTTCAGAACGTGAGAAGGATGCCCCTGAAAGCAGGCTAGTGCCAGTGAGCTGTTGACCAAACGCTTCCCAGGTCCCAACCGCTGTCCCCTCCACCCCAGCCAACCCCTACGAATCTCCCTGCTCTCTGGATTTTCCACGGACTTCCACGCGGAGGTCTTTCCCAGCTGCCCCAACCCGATGAGGGTGTTGGCCTGCCGACATGAGGTCACGGCAGCGTTTCCACAGATCGCTGCGTGGGTTTTTCCGACGAGGGCACAGAGTAGGGGTGAGAGTGGTGTTTCAAAGGAGCAGCGCCTGTGCACTCTTGTGGATCTACAGCACACAGCACCAGGTGTTGGATGTGATACAGCTCTGTCGTAACTGTTCCGTTGTATCTGAATCCTCAAGCAATTACTTAACGAAGAGCAATTTATTAGGGAAATAACTGTGTCGAAAGACGAAGACCAAAACAGAGAGTTCTGGCTCTGCTTTCTAGGGCAGTCAGTGCATCTTTGCTGTTTTCTGTGACAACTTTGAAACACGGTTTGAAGAAATTGCTGCTCATGAGTAAATTAATGATGGTTAATAACTTTATAGCGGACGTGTCGCCTTCCTTAATACCAAAACCAAAACGCAATGCCCTTTTCTTTCATTCCCCTTCAGAAAACATTTGGAACAGAGGGTATTTTGACCAGAAGACCGCTCCTTTCTAAAACTACCCCGCTCCTCGAGGCTTACTGTCTTTGCCAGAGGCGCTGAATTTTACCTCGGCTGATCTGCACC